CCGAATTCCAATCCCCACAGAAATGCTTCCGCTGCGGCAGCCTACAGCATAAAGCCAATTTTACCAAGTGCCCTGCCTTAGAAATGGATTGTAAAAGTGCGGTAAGCGTGGACATTTTGCTCGTTGTGGTCGTTCAGCACACATTTCTCAGTTGAATCCTACAGATTCCGTTTCTAATCAACAGTTACAGTCCTCTGAAAATGTATTTTCCATTGATAACACAAGTACTGTGTCTAACTGTCGTTCCAATTGTCCAGAGCCTAAACTACCTATGCCTGACATTCGTACTGTTACAGTTATTGCACACGATAGAATAACACATGCTGACATGGAACTTGATTCAGCCTCTCCTATCACTATAGTACCGAGTAGTTTTTATGACATTCACCTACATGACATGCCTATACATCCTTCAGCCTATCGATTTGACAGTTATACAAAGGCCCCGGTAGAAATACGAGGATTTGTGGTGATTGTGTTGCAACTTGGAGCCGTAAAATCATCAGTTGCTGTGTACCTTACTCGCGGAAATAACCGTCCCTTACTCGGACGCAACGCTATGGTTGCACTGGGAGTCACGCCGTCCCTATCTCGTATGCATATCATGGCAATTAACCTATCAGACCTACAGATACAGTACCCGAAATTATTTGAACAAACAATAGGGCGCGCTCCATCTTCCGTTCACCGCATATGTCTGAAGCAGGATGCTAAACCAGTAGCTATTGCTCAACGACGTCCAATTCCTTTGGCCAGAAGAGAGGCTGTTTCGTCAGCATTACGAAAGATGATTGCAGATGATCTCATTGAACCCATTAACTGTTCTGAATGGGTCCACCCTATGGTTACAGTCCTCAAAAAGGACGGTACAGTAAGAATATGCAATGATCTGCAGGCCCTATTCGGCAAATCCTGGTAGAAAAGTTTGCGCTTCCAACCGCGGATGAACTAATAGTTAAACTAGCTGGCGCCCGATACTTTTCAAAATTGGACCTTAGGAAGGCTTTCTTTCACATGCCTCTAATTAAGGAGTCAAGACCGCTGACCGCATTTATCACTCTGGACGGACTCTTTCAGTACAAAGTCTTGCCAATGGGCTTGAGTTCAGCCCCAGCAGCCTGACAAAAGTTTATGGTTCACTCATTTGCCAATTTACCTGGTCAAATAGTATACGTGGACGACATCTGTGTATTCGGTAGGACTCCAGAAGAACATGATTCACGACTGCACGCTGTGTTACGTCGACTACACGATCTTAACCTCAGATTAAACCTCGAGAAGTGCAAATTTAATGCTAGTGAGATCGAGTTCCTGGGCCACATTATAACAAATGACGGTATGAAGCCGAGTTTTGAAAACGCACGTGCCATCACCGAGGCTCCTTGCCCACAGAACTCTACCGAAATAAAGCATTTTCTAGGTATGTGTTCTTACAACCTAAGTTACCTGCAGGATTTCACGAATATTGCTGAGCCACTGCGTGAACTGACAAAGGAGAAAAGTGTATTTGTTTGGGGTCCACCCCAACAAAAGGCATTTGACAAGATAAAGCGACACATTGCTTCCACACCAGTAATGGCGATTTTCAACGAGACCTGCCAAACGATTGTCTCTACTGATGCATCAAACATTGGGTTAGGCGCCATACTATCTCAAATTCAAAATGGGCATGAAAGAGTTATTGCAAACGCTTCCAGAAAATTGTCGGCGGCGGAGCTTTCTTACTCTGCCGGGGAAAAAGAAGCCCTTGCCTGTGTTTGGGCCTGTGAGAAGTGGAATTTGTTCTTGTTTGGAAGACCCTTCACTCTTCGTACAGACCACGCAGCGCTAACTAGTTTACTTACTCGAGGAACAAATGGCATCAGGCCACTTCGGATACACCGTTGGTATGCACGACTGTTAACATACGATTTTCAAATTAAATTCCGTCCCGGACTCGAAAATCAGGTAGCGGATGGGCTCTCTCGAATGCCCCTCAATGAAACTGAAAATAATGAGGATGATAATGAGAGGTTAATGGTGTCTTCCCTGAGTAATGAACCAATCTCAGCCCTGACTAAGGAAGAACTCCAGAAGGCGACTCAGGAAGATGAGACACTCTGTCACGTTCAGGGGTTTCTGCTAAATGGTTGGCCACAAAATAACAAGATCACAGGCGAGGTTCGTCTGTACTACGTGTTGCGTCACGAACTTTCATTTATAGATGGATGCTTAATGCGTGGCGAGAAATTTGTGGCTGCTCGGAATTTGATACAAAAGGTCATGCTATGTGCTCACGAAAGCCACCCTGGTATCGTTCGCACGAAGTGTAAGCTTGACGCATACTTCTGGTGGCCCAAAATGAAACGCGAAATAGAAAAACTTGTTCATGACTGCTCTTCATGTCAAAGGGCAGACAAGAGTTCAAGGCCGGTTTCATCCCCTATACAACCCATTGACTATCCTATTCGACCGTGGGCCAAGATAGCTGTTGACATCATGGGTCCATTTAGCTCGGCGCCTCAGCATCAAAGGAACTGTTTGGTGGCGACCTGCTTTTACATTAAGTGGCCGGAAGTCCATTTGTGTGGAGAGGTGACTACTGCCAGCATTATTCGATGGCTGAAATATATGTTTTCCCGTTTCGGATTGCCAGAGGAGATAGTGACGGACAACGGGCCGCAGTTTACAAGCCACGAGTTTCATTCGTTCCTTCAACTTCACGCTATCCGGCACTCACGTACAACGCCGTACAATCCAGCGGCAAATGGCATGGTAGAGCGGTTCAATCGATCCTTGAAAGAGAGTATTCAAACTATTCGCTTATCTGGTACAGGTTGGGAGGATGCAGTACTACAAGCACTATTTTCTTATCGAACCGCACACCACCGAGCTACAGACAAAACGCCAGCTAAACTCATGCTTGGGCGTGAGCTTCGGACAAAGTCGAAGGCCGCACTTTCTATTCCTGCAACCAATAATTCCGGCGAGTTAGATCGTCGCCATCGATATCAGACCACTTACCGGCAGCACACTACTCCGCTCCAGCCCGGAACATATGTGCGCGTGAAGGTCAACACTGCATCAAAAGGACAGCCCACGTTAACAGATCCGATAAGAATAACGCGTGCATGTGGGCCAGGCACTTACCGGTTGGAGGATGGCCGCACAGTCAACGCCCGCAGATTATTCACAAGTATCAGACGAACGGAGCATATGCCACCAACCTTCACGGACGCAACCACACAAAGTCCGCAGCTCCGCAGGACAGGCCGAGAACAAACACGACCGAATCGATATGGATTTGACGTATCAAACGATTAGGCGGAGAGGTGATGTTGTCAGCATTCTTGACCGAGTCTAAACAGACAGGTGCACTTAACTCAAGACACACACACACACACAAAGCGTCCAATTCTCTGCTTCCCTAGTGGTTCATCATTCTCCTTGTGACACTTATGTACTCACCCAGTTAGACATGGATCAGATTGCAGCAGTCCGTTTATCAGATTGACCTTTTAACTTGTTCGTGCGTTTTGACCTTACGTATACAACAGTTGGCGTACTCATCCACTTAAACTTTGTCACAGCGCTACTCCTAGAGTGCACCTTGAATATATTTACTATTAACTTCGTGTGCTGTGAACGTATGCGGATTGCAGAACCGCAGCTTAGTGAAAGTTAAGTCCATCTTTTCTTATTTAACGTAGAAATTATCTTATCATTATTATTACCGTCATCGTTATTATAGTGATATCACGACCAACTATCTAACGAGACTATTACAGGAGCACTTTTTAATCCGTATAAATTCGTTGTTCATTATTCATTGGAAATACAGCTGAGATCACGGTAACGAATACTGGGATGATGTGTGAGAAGCAATCATCTAGCCGCAGATCCAGCGGATTACGTCGGCAACTCAGATTTGTATAAGTGTAAGAAGGGTAATTTGCGCAGAGAATAGTGATTATTAAATCAAAAAAGTGAGGATCGGCGAAACAGTAGGAGCAAATGTGAAATAGCTTTTTGCTCCTCTCAAATTAGCGTTACTAATGATAAGCAGTGGCAAACCCAGTATATAATATAACGTACATATGTACAGGAATAATGCATTATTCATGGAAAATTGTTTGCTAAATTCGATCTCCATAGGCACAAATGCACACACACGCCTCTACAAATTCTGTTCTTATTTTCGGTAAAATAAATGTTATTTTCAAAATTTCATTCAACCAGTAGTGCTAACATTAAATTTGATAACCTAAATAAAGCGCTCACACTTTTGAACATACCAAACTGCGACTTTTAAAGAGCTATCTCAAACATTAATGGAAATTCCATACCAAAAATGTTTGTAGCCCAGTGAGTTAAAATGAAGTCTGAGCAACGGTCAACACGCTGTTATTCATAGTCCGAACGGCCGTCTCCAACGTAAACACATGTGAATTGGTATTCCAGTGGTTCATAATTTTAAACCCTCATTATCAATTCGCTTTAGTTCCTTTTGCCATCATGCACTGCTTTCTCAGTTCTCTTTAGTCAAACTTTCATTTGTTGCCTCCCGAACCATGCCGAAATTTGCTCGCGCTAGCGCAAACAGAATCCTTGATTGTCCATCCAGCCTGCGCTTGTCGTTCAGTTAATCCAGCAGCTTTCTACAGAATCAAACATCCAAAAGAGCAGTAGGCTACATCGTTCCGCACCTACAGTGCTTTTCACTTGGACGTAATGCCGAGATTTGCATAACCTCCCTATCACTTTGCCTGTGACTCAGGGGCAGATGTCCCTCTTTCAAAACTTTCTCTATGCTTCACTAGCTGCTGTTCTTATACTTTAAAGTACGACCTGTTTGCTGAGGGTAACAGTTACCTACTGTATAGGTGATAAGCAGTTCTGGTCATAGGGAACGAGAAGACGAAAATTGTACTGGTACAGTTTAGTTGTATTTTGTTGAATTTTGTCAGTGCTAATAAGCGTAGCGAGATTAACTCTGTGAATTCTTGAATTTGCTTCATCCAGTGACTGTGTTGCATTCGCATCGATAAACACTTTCACCAGTCTACTGGCCGGCCTCATCGTGTTCGGAACACTGGGTCACATGGCCACAGTAGCCGGAGTACCAATCGGCGATGTTGCAGATTCCGGCCCAGGTCTGGCATTCGTCGTCTATCCAAGGGTTTTGGGAATATTACCAGGCAGCCTATTCTGGTCCGTCTGTTTCTTCCTGATGATACTTCTACTCGGAATAGACAGCCAGGTAGCTATATATATCATTGAGTTTTTCTTCTTGTTTCCTTGCTTTTACTGCTAATAATATGGACCCAAGATATTGGATGGGGAAAAACTTTATAAATTCCATTGTAGGTACAACCATACAAAGTTGGACGTTTCACTTTCTCTTATATTGCCACATTTGTGAAGCATATGTATGTATTCGGTGAAGTAAATAGCAATGAAAATGCGATGGCTATCACCCTTGTGCATTACCGGAATATATTGTTGTGATAGTAGTCTCAATTCCATTAGCTGAACCGGAAACTTCGCATGATGCGATAGTTTGCGTGCTTCAACCATCCAATGATGTACACCGGGCGGTATATTCTACATGTGCAGAGCTCCATACCAGATAAACCCAGTCTCTTTATCTGCAAATTTGGATTTAGGATGATGGTAAGTTCCTATTATGCATAAAACGGATTTCCTGTGGCCCGTTTCCATACTTTCAAATTTTCAAACCAAAGTCTTCAGCCAAGTACTCCAATAGATCTCCAATATAGACATGGACGATCTACTAACATTCGGAACTGGAACTGAAATAAAAGCAGCCTCAATTCATTTCTCGATGCTGTTACCGTCTCAGAGGATGAACAACAGCGCGCCACTGCTGCATCGCGGCGAGTTGTTTCGACAGAGGATGTTACTGCACAGCACTTTCACATTCCTATTCCATTGTTATCCTTTTTCGTTCCTGTTGTCTTGCTTTAACTTCGAGTTCTTCCCTCCATTTTTATTTCAACGTACAATTTTCAGCCTTCTCTGTCACCCTTTGACAGACTTCAATCCCCAGTTTTGACTCATGAACGATCGCACAACGTCACTGCGGACTCATTTAAAAGTTCGCACACAACCAGGCGAAAAACTTTAGATCCTCTGCTTCCATTTATAGACCTAGATCCACAATAACTAGTATCCATCATATGTGGCGGTTTGTTGCGCATCAATCGAAGGCAGCAGTTGCCTAAGCAGTAGAGATCGGATCGACCGATATCCACTGTCTACCTGGACTTTGTCTGCTACACCCGATTTTTACACCTTTCCGTGTCTTCATATGATCTTGCTGATCAAGCCAGCATGGATATCACTTAGAGCCACCGGAGTGAAGTAGCTATGGTCGACTGGTACCAACGGTAACACACCACAAAGTTGCTTCGTTGGCACGCGAACACTACCAATCGCTCACCGTCTGGTGATAATGTGAAGTCGTTCACATCCATGCAGTGTCGAATCGGTAACAGTTGGATTACAAGCTAGAGATATTGCACCGGCCACCAACCGATGTGATTTAACTGCTGTCCACTCGGCAGCTAAAGGGGTACATTCAAATTACCTGGCTTGTTCAAAGCCTGGAATTCAAGCGGCAAGTATATTTGCCTGTTTGGTATTGCAGATTAAGCCCGCACAAACTGTTGAGTTGACTCATTGAAAGATAACATCTTCGCTCATCTAAACGACTTATTTCATTCCGGAAAGATTACAAACTTAGTAGTGCTGGTTGATGATCTGATTGCTGAAGTTGGAAATTTTTCCAGTGAGAAGCTTTATCCGCTCAAGCAATACTGCGTAAACACCGGTAAGGTTAACGAGGAGCTTTACTACTTCTGATCAAGGAGACTGCTCTGTTTCTCTCGACGTCAGCTTGTGACACACTAGGCACAAGCCTCGGACAAACCATGGATGCAAAGAAATCACATAATGATCGATTGCCATTGAAGGAGTTAGGTCCAAAATTGTTCCTGGATTCGAGACTAAAATGGGACTCAGACCATGCACCTGTGTGCACGGTTTCGTTTCCACCGACGGCAGCGAAGAAAGTATGAGTGTACAGATACTTGTCAATTGATAAAGCCATATATTATGCACGAGTATAAAAGTGTCATGAGACTCGGGTTTAGTATGCACTGGCCGGATAAATTTGAATGTCACTGGTCACATTCTCCACACGTTATTATTAGCAGGTATGTTTTCGTGTGGCAGATCCAAGTAACTGCCTAAACATGAGACTCTACACATTCCTGAAAATTCCGACGTTCGGCGGCACATTCTGGCTAGAAGCAAATATGAGAAGACATGCAAAGGTTTCAGGGTAAAGTTATCCACCACCCTGAAAGAGACTGCAAATCGTGGTGATCTCATCGTGCAATTGATATCGAGACGGCAGTTGTTGATCATACCCACCGTAATTGCTTCCGTATCATATGGAAACCGGTGACATTAGACACTGCCTTAGCGCAAGTATATGCAAGAAAAAGAGCCAACACGAAACGAATGCAGCATAGAATTCAGTCGGAACGGAAGTGAATTATTTAATATTACTGAACTCTTTGCTGGTCAGTAGTCGCGCTACCCATTAGCCTCTCCATTCGAACCCACCTCCAAGTGCAGAAGTCGAAAGTGAGGTCGGGCTGCCGAAATTAAACAATGCCACATAACTGGAGAGAAGTTCTTCAACCTATTTCAACGTCGGAATACCACCTCTTCTCACTTATTTGTACGATTGATTTGTAAGGCCGTATAAAGCGGAAACCGTCACAATCGACTGTTTTTCTGACTCGGTCATTGTATTCAAAGTGGATTTCACAGCCCGAGTGCGGTATGCACAGTTTCATCGGTTTCACCTCATTGCCTCTAAATTGCTTGCCTTTATGTTGTTTACAGGTCAACAGGCGACCTTGAAAGCCAGATATGTGAACACAAATCCTAGATTTGTCAAAACCAAAGTCACATTTGCTACATTTGCATTTTGATTCATTTTTAGAAAACCATCGGATATATTTGCTGTAACCATAGTCATATCCCCTCATGGAAGTGACCTCGAGTTGGTGGATGAATGTGTTCTTTACCACTATCAAAGTAACAATATGTTACTGGGAAGTACAAGAGCACTTCACGAACTTTCCTCAGTCAGTAAGAGTGCTCGTGGAAACGTACCACCGTCGCTGACTTGCTGTAGCTGTATGAGGCGAGGATGCCTTTTGTGAGCCATCCTTTTCACTTTATTATTGACGAAGCCATGGAAACTACATTTACCGAACTCGATTTCGAAAGTGTTGAGTTGAGAACAGGTTGTAGCGGACTAGATGCAGACACTACTACACCAGTTATCAGTAGCATGGCAAGGCCAAGCTGCAAAACTGTAACCATCAAACGGCAAGCCGTAATGACCTCAAATGTGAGGAACACTTTAGAGTCCCAGTTGTCTGCGCTAGAGGAATGGATGCAAAGGCATGGCATATCACACTACCCTTAGGCATAGAAGATAACCCGCATCATGCAACCTCCAACAGGATAGCAAAATGAGTGAGTGTCTCGTTTGTTGGATCCGATACACCTAGCATTAGCGATATTTAGCACAATACATGATTCCGCTTATATCTCGGGTGCTTACAGGGTGATAGATTTCTTGGATCTGAGTGGGCTGACGCAATTGTTGTGAGCTGTCCTAATCTGAAAACCTTCCAAACAGTAATTAACAGTTTAGCATTGACTGTGAATCGTTTCAGACTCCCTTTCTCGCGCCTAAAACGCAAAGTTGTTCTCCATGATTAACAGGGATCACCCCCTGCACTAGGCCCTTATCGGTATTCAGCTGGAAGTTGTCCAGAGCTTTAAGTAACTAGACAGGTGTAGCTGCTGCTGCAAAGCTAATGACAAGGTCCCAGTCTTGTCTTCGCCACCTTTGGCGCCGGTGCAAAATTACTCTCGCCTTGTTGTGTATAGTCTTCATTACTGTCGTCTGTTCGAACCACCCTAAGGCAGTGAAATCTGGCCCATCTGATCGACTGGCGTATAGACCAAAGTGGCTTTTGACCACTGGTGTCTTCGCAGTTTGGCTCGTGTTTGGTGGGAAAACCGCTTGAGCATTGAGCGTGTTCGGCGTATTGTATCTGCATCTGAAAGTGCAAATGAACCGTTTAACAATATTATTTCACACACCAGGCTCGGATGGCTGAATCATGTGTTAAGCAGGTCAGTATACCAACTCCCGTAAAGTCCACTGTTTGTGCCAGTGACATCCGGATAGAACGGGATTGGTGGCTTGCTTAAAACTTAGTCAAGAAGGACAAAGACCCAGACTTAGCATTGGTGTTGGGTGTTACAACTTCCTGATTGGAGGCCGAAACCCGATGAATACCTCTGGCTGGATGCACTTGTTACAATGGTGCAGTGTCATCATCCAATCCCCTCCCACTTAGTTCCTTCTTCCAACCGCTATTTTATTACTGACATTTAAATATACATGGTCTAATGTTGATTTAAACCAGTTTGGTCACTTTACCAACTAAGACGATGCGATAAGAAGCTGAAAGCTGGTAGATGCATGCATTTTGTATTGTCTTCTCAGTATCATCAACAATAACCGAAATGCAACTATATAAATAACAAAGGTGTGACCAGACAAACTAGAGGTACAAAATGAATGGCGAAAATTCCAACCCAATATCCATGGCAACCTCAAGCTTACAAATAATTGCTTTTGAACACAGCTTCACCCGACTCACTGTAACAGCCTAGGCGAACCGGAGGAACTGGGGATTAGAGTGCCTTAACACGTTTGTGGACGCTGATTTAAACTCTCGCCGGCGACGCGTGACCATTAGGTGTCTATCGGTTGAAGAAGCAGGCTGCCTGCGCTATCACAAAATGACAGGGGGCAAGGATGCTGGTCAATTTCACGTTAAACTCACCTTGGCAAATGTTACATTATTCGGGAACTTAAAGAACGATTAGTCCTGCCTATATAATTAACTCCGCAGTTATATGCCAACCGGCAGACGCAGTTTATATTGGCCCCGATGGGTTGAGGTGACCTCGTTGGAGGCACCGGCAAATTACGAGTTCGGTTAATGACCGCAATTTGGGTAGCAGCACAACTTCTCTGCGTGGCAGAACTTGAACGTTTGGTGGTTTCTTGTGGTCGAAAGTCACTCTTGAAAGGCAACTCGATTTACATCTGTTTCTTGGCTGATGTATGCACTG